AAGGATTCTGAGGAAGGGTCACCGGACCCGAAACGTTAACTCTGTTTTTTCCTTCACAGATGCTGCCAGACCTGTTGAGCTTTTCCAGCAACTTTGTTTTTGTTCCTGATTTACAGCATCCGCAGTTCTTTCGGTTTTTATTGTGTTACAAACTCATTTACCTTGTTTTGCATACTGCATGCATTTAAGGACAACACCCTCAGTCCTGTGTTGACAGCCCCCTTCTCATAGTTGTCTCCTTATCTGCTGTGCCTGAAGTTAGATCCCTGACTCTTTCCATCCTCTTTGTCCTGTTCCTTGTTCTGGAGACTTTAACCTCTGCTGAGCCCTGTTTTGTTAGCTCCCTAAAATTTCTCTGCTCCCCACATCCCATTTGTCCTCGATCTCATGTGGACTACACTACTTGCCCCTTTTGGGTGCTCTGCAATTGCTCAGTTGCATCTTTGAACAGGCACCAAGGAGGCAGTCCACCATCTGGATGTGAATCTCTGGCCAGTCAGCTGCATTGACACTGCACTCGGCAATTTTTCACCTAAACATGTCTATCTGGTTAGTCTCGGTCTCTTTTAAGATTCATCTTCAAACTCACCTGTACAAAGAAAGTTTTATTCACTGTTTCTAATCATACGTTCGCAGAATGCAGGGAATGCCCATTTCGATCATCATGTCTAAGCCTACACTTCGAAAGAGCCATCCATTTCTTCTGACTCTCTCTTCCTCTTCCCCTCTTTCCCTGCAAATTTCCCTTTCATGATTTTATCCATTTTCTACCTTTGAGTGTGTTACCACACCAGATTGAAACACCTCAGATGAACCTTTCTTTAACCTTCTCTGCTCTGAGAATGATCCGACCTTCTCCAGTCTCCCCACATAACTCAAGTCTCTTATCCCCTGTGACCATTCCTGTAAACCACCTTTTCAACTCTCTCAATCGCCTTCACATCCTCCCTAAATCATTGTGTGCAAAATTCAACACATTTGTGGCCAAACTAGGTTTTGTTTAGCTGTAAATTTAGTTTAAACTCTTTGTCTGTTTATTATAGATCTTGATTTATAAAGCAAAGATCCTATTTATACTTTTTTAACTGTCTTCTTAACTTTTGACCTGCCTCAACCAATGGTCTTTACTACATACTCCCATATATTTCCCCTTTAAAATGGCATCATTCTTCTCTCTTTTTGACTATTTGAATCTTTGATTATCCATCTGAGAAGTATCCTACAACACATTAGCAATGTGAAGGGATTTATAAAAATATAAATGTTGTTCATGCCTTTTCTCTTGATAGGTTTCTTTCATTGATTAGACCTGGAGATGGGCCGGAATATTCTCGCAATGAATTCTCTCCAGCAAGGACAGAAAAATTCCAAATGGTCTTTATCACCAAATTGCAGAATCTCCCTGAAGAACTGCTCACCATCTTCTATCCAATTCAAATCGTCATTAAATAACCAAAACATCAACAATTCAACACAATCTCAGATTTCCATTCAGGCTGATCCTGATCAAGATCCTTCTCTGTTGAATGTCCGGGCAATCCTCTTTGTTAAAGTGTTTCTCCGAGAATGAAGTCAAAAGATAAAGGCATTTCTCCAACAATCTGTAGGAAGGGAACTAGACAAGTCTTTAGATTTTGAATTTTTCTATCTTTTTAGGTAATGAATCTCGGATTTTCTTGGAATAAATTGTGATATCAGTTCCAGTTGTGATTTATGGTGAAATAAACACTGGATAAAATTCTCTCTATAAATGTCTGTACATCCCGACAAAGCTTCATTCCTCAATCTAACTATGGACCAAGACTTCAGTCATAGAATAGAATCCCTACAGTGTGGAAACAGGCCCTTCAGCCCAACACATCCACACTGACCCTCAGAGCATACCACCCAGACCCAACTCCCCGTAACCCACCTAATCTACACATCCCTGAACACTACAGGGCAATTTAGCATGGCCAATCCACCTAGCCTGCACAGCTTTGGACTGTGGGAGGAGACCAGAGCACCTGAAGGAAGCCCACATAGACAAGGGAAGAACGTGCAAATTCCACACAGACAGTCACCTGAGGGTGGAATCGAACCCAGGTCCCTGGCACTATGAGGCAGTAGTGCTAACCACTGAGCCACCCTGCTGCCCTAATCTCTCTCTGATCTCTCCCTGATCTCTCCCTGTAAGTCTTGGGATCACAATTTGTTGGCTGACACCACTGTGAAACACCTGGGAGTAGCTTATTGCGTTAAAGGGCTTTAAAAACACACATTATTGTTGTCATTATATACCTGTCCCCATCCCCTTCCAGGATGCTGGAGAAGCTCAGCAGCTCTGGCAGCATCTATGGAGAGAGAAACAGAGTTAACGTTTCAAGTTCAGAGACCCTTCTTCAGAATTGTTAGTAGTTTGGAAAACTTGGTATTTATGCTGTGGGGGCAGACGGTAGAGAAATAGTTGTTTTCTCTCCACAGATGCTGCCAGACCTACTGAGTTTCTCCAGCATTCTCTGTTTTGTGCCCCAAGGTAAGAATCTGTTTTGGGAATCTGAGATCTTTGAATAGTTTTGGAATTTTCTCCAAAATACAGAATGTGTTTGTTTGAAAAACATTTCTGTTTGATGAATCTTGCTCCTTCCACTGTAACCCCTATCCAACAATAAAACAACACTGACCAGAGCAACATGAAAGTAGCACACAACTACCGCTCAAGCAGATGACCTGGTCATTATTCCTTTGCTGTTTATGGGAGCTTGCAGTGTTAGATTGGCTCCTGATTTCCTGCAGTACAACAGTGATTCAATTTCCAAAGTCAAGCACTTTGATGTATTTTGTGGTAATGTAAAAACAAGCTTTCATTTACAGACAGTCACTGTGTTAGGACAGTAGTCGAAAGATCAAATTACACCCGTTCTAAATGAATGGATGTGCTCAGGAGGTCAATGTTAAAAGGAGGGGGTTTGAATCCACAAACAGCAGCTGTTTCAATACAGCTCAACCCATTCAGTGGACAATAAAGCTCAGGATTGTAACTTCATCACTTCATCTGTCAATATTTGTAAATCCATCTCACAATCGAACCTCCCTCTGCTACAATTTATATTCTGCAAGTGACATAAGGTTATAGGGCCATAAGAAATAGGAACAGGAGTAGGCTGTTTGGCCCCACATCTCTCCACATTTCAAGTTTGTTTGAATACACAGTACAACCACTTCTCCACATTTTCACATTGCTATTTCATGATCTTATTTAATTCATTGTTTGATTCAAGCAGAATGACAACTCTAACCTTTTGCCAGCATTTCCACATTCAGATACCCATCTCGCTCCAAACTCCCTTCTGCTGCCTGCCTGTCTCCTCACCTATCCCTTCCTCCTCCTCTATCACATTACCCTTCCTCACTCCCTCTCCCTTCTTTCAATCCCTCCCCATACCCTGTTCCATCCCTATACCCTTTCTTCTTCTCCCGTTCCCTCCTCTCTCTCTATCCCTTCCTCCATCCCCTCCCCAGGAACGTCTCCAGTGCCTCTGCTACTGATGCAAACCCTGCACCATGACAGGTCATAGCCAGTCGAATCTCCCCCATTGCACCAGTCACTCATTCCCTGCTCCCTCAGTATCTCACAGGGCTGTACGACATGGGGAGCACATCATGAGCTTCAGTGGGGAGAGTCAGTAGCACAGCTGAGAACAAAGTCTCTGATCCAACACTTGCCCTTGTGAAAAAAGTTACCCTCAATTCTACCTTTTTTCTACCAGTGATAGTTCTCCGTTTCTGATCCCTTTTCACCAAATATCACACAACCTACATCTGTAACCTCATAGCTACAATGAAACCTACCCACTTTTTGAGTCTTCATAACTGAAGTAGGGAGATGAAGCAATCAAGAGTATGTTTGGGGAAATGTAAATTGCTTTACTATAGTTATATAACATCTATCTGCTGTGAAGGTCTTTGTGTGTGATCTGTGGCAACCATTATACATATCACGTGAAACATGGTGTAAGATAGAGTTGGGCTGGAAATGTGTGGATTTTCAGAATTGTAAGAGAGCCTGCTATTAAAAGAAATCACACACTAGGTTATAGTCCAACAGGTTTATTTGAAAACACAAGTTTTCAATGTGTGATTTCTGACCTTGCCCACTCCAGTCTAACACCAGCACCTCCACATCACCGAAAGAAATGACCAGGAAGAATTTAAAACACCAGTCTGCATGTGTGTCAAAATGGCAGTGAATTTTCCACTTCCTGCTGATGCAGAAATGACAGGAGACAAATTGGAATTTTATTCCATTCCAAATGGCAAACTATGAAATAGCCAAAGACCTAATTTAAAAAAAACTTGAACAAGTAAGAGTAACAAACCTGCTATCAGTCCTGCGGAAAGTCTCACTGAGGAACAGAAAGGCTGGAGGGGAGAGGTTTTGCAAACCTTGAAGACACTCTTCGAACTCCATGTTGATGCTACGTATAAACAGTATGTATTCAACGTCTGTGCTCAAGAGGAGTTGGATACTATTGATCAATATGTGACTGGACTGATACATTCAATAGGACGCTGTGAATTTAGGCATCTGAAAGGCAATCTCTTTTAAGATAGAATTGTCATAGACATAAAAGATCCTGCTATGAGAATATGTTGGCTTGGAGAGAGGAAACTTACTGTCAAGAAATATGTTGACGTGCAGACATTCTGAGATTGTTAGTCAGCTGGGCATATTGCAGAACTCAGATGCAGAAAGATTTGGGTGCCCTAATGTAAGAATCACAGAAGATTAGTATGTAAGTACATCAAGTAATCAGGAAAGCTATGGTTTATTGCAAGGGGAACTGAATGAGGGGACTAAATCTAGGGAGGTTATGCTTCAGTCATTTGGGCACTGGTGAGACTGCACCTGGAGTATTGTGTACCGTACTGATCACATTGTTCAAAGAAAAATGTTAATATGCTAGAGACAAAAAAACTGCTGAGGCTTGAATCCAAGGTAGACAGACAGGAAGCTGGAAGAACACAGCAGGCCAGGCAGCATCTGGAGGAAAGGAACCCTGAAGAAGGGTAATACCTGAAACATTGACTGCTCTTAAATGCAACAATTCAGAATGAGTAATGAATGCTGGCCTAGCCAGTGATACCCTCACCCTGTCAATGAATGAATAAGACAATAGGGAACAGGAGTGGGCCATTCGGCTCCCTGAGCTGCTCTGCCATTCAATAGTATCATGGCTGACCTGACATTCCTCATTTACAATTTCCTGCCCATCCCCAGGCCTCTTCCCGACTGATCAAGGATCTCAGCCTTAAATATATATAAGAACATAAGAACTAGGAGCAGGAGTAGGCCATCTGGCCCCTCGAGCCTGCCCCGCTATTTAATAAGATCATGGCTGATCTTTTTGAGACTCAGCTCCACTTACCCGCCCACTCACCATAACCCTTAATTCCTTTACTGTTCAAAAATTTATCTAGCCTTGCCTTAAACACATTCAGCGAGGTAGCTTCAACCACTTCACTGGGTAGGGAATTCCACAGATTCACAACCCTTTGGGTGAAGAAGTTCCCCCTGACCTCAGTCCTACATCTGCTTCCCTTTATTTTGAGGTGATGCCCTCTATATAAGGACTCCGCCCCCACACTCTCTGTGGCAAAGAGATCCAAAGACTCTCAACTCTCTGAGAGAAGAAATTCCTCCTCATCTCAGTCTTAGATTGGCACCCCTTTATTCAGAGACATTTCCATGAGGGATTCTTATGGACTAGACCAGACCCCCTACCTTTAAGAAGGTACCTAGGCCCTAAAGTGACTGGTCAAACTACTTGATGCTAAGCAAAACACAATTTACTTAAACACTGTAGTCAAAATGCAAGCAAAGAAATAGGAATTTAGAATAACTTAACTCTGTTGGAAAACTTAACAGAAAAATAGATACAGTGCCTATGATTAATTAACTGCTCCATTATAGTAACATCCCATTTATACACCCCTTGGCAAAAAAGAAAATTCAGACACAGATTCTTATAAGCAGTTCTCCAGGCCAGGAAAAAAAGACATTAAGAGAAAATTCAGAGAGATTAGCAACCAGGAGACACTCACTGAAACTTCCAAATCTCTTGAGACCCCAATAGCTTCTGAAGCTACTGACCAAAAAACAAAACCCAGAAATCTGGATCTGTGAGAGCTGGCCACACCCATTCCAGCTGCAGTGAACAAACTCAATGCCTCCCAAGCTGTTTACTCAAGTGATCTTCAGTGGCCAGCCTAGTACCCCTGCCTTACATCCTCTCTTCAAAAACAAACAGGACAAAATAACCTCTTTAAGTGATAGCATCATTGTACCATCAAGTCCCTTAAGAATCCAATATATTTCAATGAGATCGCCTCTCATTCTTCTAAGCTCCAGGGGGTAGAGGCATAAAGTCATAGGGATATACAGCACAGAAACAGACCCTTCGGTCCAAATCATCTATGCCAACCAGGTATCCTATATAAATCTAGGCCCATTTGCCAGCATTTGGCTCATATCCTTCTAAACCCTTCGGTCCAACCCTAAAGTTGGACCGAAGGGTCTGTTTCTGTGCTGTATATCTCTATGACTTTATGACTCTAGATGCTGTCAGACCTGCTGAGATTTTCTGGCAATTTCTGTTTCCGTGATTAAGAAAGTTCCAATTGCTACAGACTGAATAAGCAGCATGTGTGAAACCTGGGAGCAAGTATAGATCCAAGGGCTTTCAATTAAACTGAATATAATCTCACTACCCCACAGCAACTATTGAAGAAGTTTTGCCACAACTTGTTCTTGATGCAAAGGATGGTTACTGGCAAAGGAAGCTGGCTGAAAGCAGCAGGTTTCTAATTGCATTCTGCAAGCTCTTCAGGAAATAATTTCGTTGAGCACACCA